TAGAACTGTTAAGACTCGCACAAGCCCATATATTTATATGATTTATGATGGAATTTGCATATAATTTTTTATATGAAATATCCGTAATATTTTCATATAAACATGAATTGCAGGTCATTGTATATTCAAGTTACAACAATTATTTTGAAAATAAAATAATTCAACGTTATTAGATACAAATTCGTCACAAAATAACAAACCCGAATTTGCAATCTTTTACTATTCAACTTAAGCTTTATTACATGTTGGACCGCAGAATATCTTTGACAAAAATTGGATAAAAGGAGACAAATAAAAAGGAAATAGGTAGGAAATATATTATGGTATGTACACTTGGGTATGAATCATGTGACAATTTATATTGTCTAGAAAGTTGACCAGTTGACGTGACTCCCAAGTTTCTTGAACTCTTCCCGGTGAACTTCGAAATGTTTTATTCAAAATTGTTATTTCACGCGTTATCTGCGTGCACTAGAAGCAAAAGGTTGGTTTCGTATTTTCATTTTCATTTTTATTTCTCACAATAAGTAAATGTAGTTCATTGGATACATGGTATGTAAAATAGTTGACGATAAGTGACATGCGTTTTGGCCCTGTACGTATGGTCTTTTTCAATAGTGACACAATCAGGAATTAAGTTCGATAAAAGCATAAATTGATTACAATTATTTTACGAATAAAGTAATACATAATTTTCGTTCTCTCTTTTTTTAGTTTCTCGTGATTTAACAATACAAGTCGTCTTAGTTGATTGGCGCATGATAGGGATGCTAAGTGGAGGGAGCAACTCGTTGACGCAGCGCGAAAAAGAAATTCAAGTGAAAATCTTGAGAATACGAAATTTGAAATCCACCAAATTATGAAAAAAACAAATTAAAGAATTTTATTAATTGAAAGATAATAAAAAACAATGAGATAACCCTTTACTTATATGACTTTACATGAAAACCTAGTTTAATAAAACTAAAAAAAAAAAGAATTCGAAATAAATTAAATGACAAAAATAGTGTTAAAACTTTAAGAAACAATTTTCGAGTCCTAAATGAATTCGGATGGCCGAAATCCATCGTATATATAGTATAACTATGTGCTTTACTCGTATCGTGGTCCTCTTTACGAAATTGTATTAATCGGAATTCAAATGTTCTCTCTACACTATTACTTTTTCCCTCTTTTGATCAAATTCTTCAACAATATGTTCTACATCACTCGCAGACTCGACTTGCATCCTAGAAGAGCTGTATGCATGAGCTAAGCTGAATTGAGAAGCAATTTTTTTTTTTTTTTTGCGTGAGATTCGTCATGAGTGAAAAATGCATGTTGAGTCAAATTTCGATTGAGCGAGTCAGGGGAAGATCGTTAGTAGATGAGTTGAGCCGCTTGAGCGGCTCGATATTCTTCCCACATTTGGTCTTTTGGCCTTTTTAAACCCAATATATAGTAATTTTTTCAATCAAGGAAAATACGTTTTCCTTCAAAATCTCGTTACAATGGAGTCAAGGCATATCATTGTTACGTATCAAAGTCTAACAATTCTTCATCACGATGACATATTTCCGCTGACTTGTCAACTTCAACTGGCAGAGACGTGTCAAAATTGGAGTTTTAATTTTGNCTTAAAGGCTTTGCCAGACACGCTCAGTATTTGTTTGGGCTTAATTTTTTCAATCAAGGAAAATACGTTTTCCTTCAAAATCTCGTTACAATGGAGTCAAGGCATATCATTGTTAAGTATCAAAGTCTAACAATTCTTCATCACGATGACATATTTCCGCTGACTTGTCAACTTCAACTGGCAGAGACGTGTCAAAATTGGAGTTTTAATTTTGACCATAAAATATCAAACCACATTGAATTATTGTATACCAATCATTCATCAATTCCAGCCTCCCAAAGTATTTGTATTGAATTTATGGTCTCTTTCAAAACTATTCAAAACACAGATATTTTTACACGTGATATATTCTAGTATTGTAGGAACGGACATTCATACCAAACTCAAAGCTCAAAATACAATTCAAATTTTCTCCAAATATTTCTCTCTATATTCAAATCCCTTATGAGTCAACGTGCGATTACCGGAATGGGTTTTCGGCAGCTGCAGTCGAGGTTTTCATCGTTTGGTAATTCGATGAATTATGCCTCCAAGAATTGTGGACCCGGAATCACTCACATTTTTGAGGCAAGGTACTATAGTAGTAACCTAGCTTCTAAAGATACCAAAGAAGACAAGCCAGCTCAAGTTGTGAAATTTGATTCCAACGTTGAAAACGTCGATGGTCAGAGTGGTAAGGCTGTTGTTAGCAGCTATTGGGGGGTGCCTCCGTCTAGAGTGACCAAGGAGGATGGCTCGCCCTGGCGATGGAATAGTTTTCGGGTACGTACCCTGAAATTGCAATAATTTTGTCATTTGGTGTGATGAAATAGAATAGAAACCACAAGTTATGGTCAATGTTTATGATCCGTCTTTGAATTTGCATTTTTTCAGCCATGGGAGACATATAAAGCGGACACTTCAATTGATGTGACGAAGCACCACAAGGCAACTACGTTCATGGACAAATTTGCCTATTGGACCGTTCAATCTCTCAAGTACCCCACCTATTTGTTTTTTCAGGTTATACGACCATTTTCTATTAACCACATTAGAACTTGCCAATCATGTCCATTCTTGATAACAAGTTTTGAGTATCATTCATATTTAGTACACAATTTTGGATAATTGTCAACTACTTTTTATTCACTTATATTTCTAAATTCCCGGCTTATAATTTCTTGTAGAGACGCCACATGTGCCACGCTATGTTGCTAGAGACGGTGGCAGCCGTCCCGGGCATGGTAGGCGGGATGCTTCTACACTTAAAGTCGCTCCGGCGGTTTGAGCATAGTGGTGGATGGATCAAAGCCCTTCTTGAAGAAGCAGAAAATGAGAGAATGCATCTAATGACATTCTTAGAATTATACCAACCCAAATGGTACGAGAGAGCCCTAGTATTTGCTGTCCAAGGTGTATTTGCAAATGCCTATTTCGTGTCCTATGTTGTCTCCCCAAAACTTGCTCATCGCATAACAGGCTATCTTGAAGAAGAGGCGGTGAATTCATACACTGAATTTCTAATTGATTTGGAGAAGGGCCTTGTTGAAAATAGACCTGCGCCGGCGATCGCCATTGATTACTGGCAGTTGCCACCAGAATCAACTTTGAAAGATGTCGTCACGGTTATCAGGGCTGACGAGGCGCACCATCGTGACCTTAATCACTTTGCATCGGTAAGAAAATTTTCATTTCCCTATTGCTATTCGTCAAAGATATTTTTAGTACTTCGAACTTTTTAAAGGAGATAATTGATCAATATAGTACCAAAATCGATAAAGTCTTTATTTATTGAGAGATGCTAACATTGGCCCTGTAATAAACACACTTTTTCTAAGAATTAGAATGTGACAAAAATCTCTTTATATAATTATTAAAGTGAACGTTTGGTCTAAGTATCGAAAGGAATTTTGAACCGTATAATGTATAAAATTTTAATTTTTT